TGTAAAGGGATATGGAAGGAGAGAAAAATAAAATGCCAAAACTATTTTGTATTGGCGATTAAATATGATCCACTCCAAATGTGCATTGAGTTTAGCAATAAGTTTCACATAATGTTTCCATTGTCTTCAACTTTTTGAAAGCCTTTTTGTTGCTATTTCTTGCCCGTTAACTAATTTTCCCACAAAATACACACACACACACATATCATCAGATAATTATAAATTTTAACCCTGGTTAAACTAAAGGTGTGATTGAGATCATTTTAAAGAAACACTTGTGTCATTTTTCTGACATATCTTACTATGACATTGTATCTAATAATATACTCCTTAAGAATCTATTTAAAAGGAAAAAAACGAGGAAATGTCTAAATATTACCTTGTAGGCATGTCCAAGTCCTCTTTTCTTCCCTCTGTATGCTAACAGAAAAGTTATCAGCTGCAATGGCATGTGATATATATTACTTTCAAGTTTCAAATTAATCTGATTGCTTCTGCTTCAATCTTTCTTCAGCTTGAAATCTGGGTATTCTCTTTTGCTTGCGGGTATGGAAGCCGATCGAGATCCTATGTGGCGGAGAATCTAGAGATGGCAAATGCCAGAGAATACCAAAACTCTATAATGTGGCAGATTGCTCATGACACCATCCACACAACGGCTTTTTGAGTACGAAGAGGGTTGGAGATGGCAAGGCCTTGCCCATTTGGTTGCAATGAAGTGGAAGATACTATGCACTAGTTTAGATATTGTACTCATGCAAAGTGCTGGTGGAGGGAGTTTATTCATGCAGATTATATGGAGACCTTCTAGTGCTTATAAAGGTGGGATTGGTTCAATTAGAATACGAAACATCAAGGAGGGAATTCTTTAACCAAGAAGTTACCATGGGATATTTTATTTGCTTATATTTGTTGGGATATATGGAGGAGTCATTGCAATTTAGTTTTCCAAGGTCGAGAGGATTAGATAATGGAGGAACCATCTACATCTTTCTTTTGAGTTATAGTTAATCAAGATCTTAGAAATAACCTGCCTCAATTCCTCATAAGTGGTAGTCATGGTGCTCTACATCAACATCTAAAGGAGGGAGTTCGACTTGACGTCGAGGGCCTACTCTTATTGATAGCCAAGGTTCGTGTGGTGGCGTTTTAAAGAATAGAAAAAATGCCTAGATTCAAGGTTTAATAAAAAAAAATTAGGGCATGTCCCCCTTATCATTGCTAAATTGTTTGATATTTTCAAGGGTCATGAATTATGTTGGCAGAAAAGGTACAAGATTGTGAAGGTTTTTTGTGAGTGTGAATAGGTTATTGATGACTCCAAATATTTTCATTTGCTTTTAGGAAATTTTAGGTTCAATTTGGAGTTATCTAAATAATTTTGAGAGAAAATGAGACTACTATTTGAGAAAATGAAAGAAAAGTTCTTGTGAATATGAGGAGGGAGAATTGGCAATACCTTGTTGAAATAAATGGATTACTTTTGCTAAACTTTCATTAATGATGTTATATTGTGTGTAGGGTCATCCAAATTAAGACTCAAAGGGCTATATGTAAGTAAAGATTGAAAATGAAAAAAATGCATAATTTATGCTACAGCATATCGGAATTACGTTATAGCATAATTCAGTGACAGTGACAGTGGCAGTGACAATGGGAATAATGCCATAGCATAATCATCAATTACTGAAACGCATAGCTTCATGAAAAACTGATATTTTTAAATTTTTGAACGTTGTTGCTCAACATTCTTTGTCTTGGCTCGTCTCCAGCAGCTCCAAACTGACTAAGGAAGAGGGAGAAATATCATGGATGAGGTGGAGAAGCTTGGGTTCTATGGGAGATTAATGATTTTCGTCCAAAATCACTAGGATTAAGCTTTCTTCTCTTTCTCTTCTTCGTTTTGATGTATTCTCTATTCAGTTTTGCTATTTTCAGAATAATGTGTGGTTGAATCTCTTAGACCTAGAGGAACTATGAATCTATTGATAAACTAGACTCATTTTTACCTATTAGTTATGCTTAATGTTGATTTTGGTTACTCAATCTTGTGATTTAATGTCTATTTGATGCTTGGCCAACATTAAATGTGATATTGGGTGTTGGAATTTTTCATTGACAAAGAAAAATTTCTTCTAGACCATTGGATTGAGTAATATGGGATTAGATTTTATCTAATTTGCAATTAAGATAAACATATACTTAATTGCTCCATATAATCATTGCAAAGTGTTCTTAGGTTGAGTTGCCTCTTGAATAATTGTGTTAGAAATAACATAATTAATTCAAGAGAGGATTGTTAGTAGATTGAAAGACCTTAATAATTACTAAAACTCTCGATTAACAAAATTAACTTTGAAATTAATTAATTAGATTAAAATAGAGTTAAGACATTAATAGGGGATTAGTGACTCTAGGTTTCTTTTTCCTTGAATAGATGTTGGATTTAAGCATTTCGTTGAGTCTTTATTAATTTTAATTTTAGTTAATTAATTAGTTCTAATCAATTTTGCTTAACGTAAACAAAAGTGAAAATTTTATTGCCTAATCACTATTTTGCTTGATTCCTCATAAGATCAACCTTGATGCACTGATATATTACGTATTGACCCGTACACTTGCGGTTATACATTTTTGCTTGCATCAGTTATCTCAACAATTACAAGAGACAACCATAATTTATCACTCTTTCCAAAGTATTATCGATTCCATAAATTTGATTCTTTATAAAAATTGAACTGTAAGCTTTAACTTTTTGTATAAGGACGATAATAGAATGACTAATTACCCAATAACTTTAATATTTTTTTATACCCCACCCATTAGTTGATTAGGGATGGCTGGTCTACTTTTATTTTTGTTGTTTAGTCTCTTATAATGTTTTCACATTCTACTAAATAAGTATATCATGTTCATATTCAAATATATAACACACAGTACATCAATCTAATGTAGTTGTGGTTTCATTCGTTCCAATTAAAAATGAACTCAAAACCCAATAAATATGGGAATCATTAATCATGTATTGTTGACTTGTGATCATTCATCTACAAGTATAACAATGAAGATGGCATCCCAACGTGAACAAAAACAGTACAAATTATGTAAATCATGTACAAGGGTTGTATAGCAAAAGCAACAAAAGATAATAATCAGACGTCAATGTTCACTATCATAAATTGATAGTTATTAAAAGGAAACTTTGTAAACAAATAATAAACATGCAGCCAAGATCTGTGCTGTTTGTTGTTTAACTTCAATAATTTATAACATTCAGGATGTTTTTAGACTTCACAGCAACTTACATTATTTTAATTCTTATTTATATAAAGTTTGTATTTAGTGTATATAGATTAAAAAAAAAGAAAAGGAAAACACTACTTTTGATCCTCATTCTTTGTTTGAATTTTGTTATAGATCTCTGCACTTTTTACAATATTCCAAGTCCCTATATTTTTTCCTATTTACAATGTCGACCCTTATAGTTTTTGAAAAATGATGTGATACAAACAATATTAAGATTGATGATGTGTCCATGAACATTATTAGGTTCATGTTATGTGTTAAGTAGATACTAAGTTAAACTTTTTAATAGGCAAAATACCAAAAAAAAAAAAAAAACCACATCAAATTTTTTTTCTTTAAAAAAAGCTCAACTTAAACGATTAGCCTCAGTGTATATTAGGGCATCCAAGGACTTTTCATTTTATCTAATGTGGATTTTCTTAATTTTATTTTGCTCATTAAAAAGTCCAATTCAACATCTATTTAACACATCAACACAAACTTAACAATGGCCATGGACACATAATTAATCTTAACACCATTTGTGTCAATCCAACATCCCTAAATCTATAGGACCAACATTGTAGATGAAGAAAAATAAAAAACCTAAAACACTGAAAAAAAAAAGTGTAAGAGCTAATAACAAAACTTAAATAAAATAGACTAAAAGTAATGTTTTTCCTTTAGAAAAGTATCTTTACACCAGATATGATTAGGATGCACGACAGATCTCCTGATCATCTGCTCATTTGACATTATCTATACAGGGAATGTCATAAATTGATAGTGATTGCATAGATCATGTTCATAACCTTATATACAAACAAGGGAAAATAACACCAAAACATCAATTACTATGTTGTACTTCATTGCAGCTAGAGCAAAGAGAACAAAAGCACATACCAAGAGGAAGACAAGAAGCATTGGGCCAAGGCACAATGCCTACCAAAAATACACTGTACATGCTAGATCTTTCTCTTCCTTTCAAGGTTTATCCATATTTAATACTGAATTACCACTCAGCAGATTATAATGAATTAAAAAAGCTGTAAATGAAAAGATTCAATCTCCAGATTCAGCATGAATTAATCAACCTCCCTTTCTGATGTATTGTCACACCAGGATTACTGCTGTACATCAGAACATCGATAGAACAAGAGAAACTGGCATTTGTTGTCGAAATTGTGTTAAACAACAAAGATAGGTGTTTGACAAGATGCAGCCCAAGTTGCTAAGAAATAAACACAACTTTCACTTGATTAATTTCAAAATTTTAGCAGATCCTATGACATTCGCCTAAATTATTAGAAATGTGCCAACAGAATGTTTTCACAAAATGATTTCAATGGATAATAGAGGAAAAGCTTGAATTGCAAATATGTTTGAGACACTTGGCTTCAGAGCATAGTTGAATTACTGCCTAGCCATGAAATTCTTCCATCCTAAACTTGAGATCATGACAAGTAGTTATTCTAGCAAAGGGGAAAACTTGATGACATGTATTTACCAAAATTTACAACAAATATTCCTCTGCAACGTCAGAAGACCCCAAGTCCTGAATGTAAATAGGAACTGAGATCCTCTGGGCGCATGGCAGGAGCAAGAATCAATGTTTCAACAAAATTCATAGAGGTTTAAGTCATTTAGGACAAACTGACATATAATAGAGAAACTTAACAAGTCATACCAGTCATGAACCATAAACGACATACTCATTTTTCAAACTCTCACATTATTTAATTCAGAGAAGAAGAATTAAGAAGCCCTGGGCAAAATATGTTTTAATGCTAATTATACAAGTACCACTTTTTCCAACCAGACAGAGCTTAAAATTCAGTTAAGATATATGCTTCCTCTTCAATTTTGATCATCAACTCCTGAAAAATTCAATGTTTCCACGAGCAGAGTTAATCAGCACAGCGATCCACAAGTTCTTTTGGAGAAAGAAAGAAATTTTATTTAAAAATCATACAGAAACGCCTAGAAGGTTTATTTTACAGAGAGAGCGTCTTGAAGCCTCTGACAATCGAGAAAATAAGCAAACCCATAAGCCATGTTCTTCAAAGTGGCCTCATGGAGCTCCGAATCCGACGTCATCGTGGCATCCGCTGAGAAGAAAACCCTAAACCCTCTCACGAAAGCCTCACGCGCCGTCGTCTCGCAGCACAGGTTCGTCATCACCCCCGTCACAATCACTTCCTTTACCCCCATCTCCCCAAGCTTCTCCTCCAAACGAGTATTCCTAAACGCGCTGTAGGTGTTCTTCTCCACCACCATGTCCTCCGGCTTCCGATCGAGCGTCGGTATAAGCTCCGCCTCCGGTGTGCCGTCGAAGATGAGGTCGCCGTTCCTCCACTCACCAAGCATGCCGTAGTCGGCGGGGGACTTGTGGCAGTGGCGCGTGAAGATGACGGGAATGGAGGCGTTCCGGCAGAGACGGATTGTGGTTGTGAGATTGGAGAGGATGGGCTTGGCGATGGAAGAAAAGTAGTTTTGCATGTCAATGACCAAAAGAGCACACGATTTAGGATCTGGGTTTCTCTTCCTTATCTCATATTTATTGTATGGAGATGATTTGTTCAGAGAAGACGCCATTGATGAAAACCCCCTTTGGCTCTGGTTCTGGGTCAGTGTTTTCTCTCCCCTTCCCTGTGCTTCTCCTTTGGAATGCAAGGATTTGGATTTCCTCCCATGCATAGAAAGTGGAGGAGGTACGCTGTTGGTTTAAATCATTAAATTAAATTTGATAATTTATGTGGGAAAATATCAACCAAAGATCCCTTAATAAAATTTATATTACTTAAGAATTAATAAATTTGTTGGTCCAAAAAATAATAATAAATTTTAAAATTATACTACAATTCCATCTTTAATTATGTTAATTTTTTTTTATGTTGAACGATTAACTTTTACCTTAAACTCTTCCTATTCTCTCTGGCATCACTCCATTATAAGTTCAATTTTAATTTTTAACTAGATTTAAATATGCCAAGTTCAAATATATTGAGACCATACAAAACACACCAAAAGATTTGTTTTTATATATATATATATATGTATGTATGTATGTATGTATGTATGTATGTTCGCGCGCAGAAGTGCTTTGATTCTTTAACTTCATTTCAGATTTTTTTTAATTTTTTAATTTTATAAATTATCCTTGTAATCTTCTTAACTCTGATATGAGAAATATATTAAAAAAAACGTTGATATTAAACTTTTAGATTTTTTTTTTGATTGAGCAATGATATAATTTAATTTAAGACACAATTAAATACTAAATATGGATATCTTTTTTACCAAAAGTTTGAATTTTGCTTCCTTATATTGTGAGAAACAAGTTTCTTTTACTGTATCAAATTCACATTGATTATAAACTTTTAAATATTAATAAAATATTTTTAAATATTAGACATATTAAATTTAATTTTTTAGCTAATAGTGATTAATACAAAAATAATTATTTGAGACTAATAATATCAAGAAGAGGGTTAAAAAAATACTCTATAAAATTAGGGAGTTAAGCTAAAATTTTATATAAATTAAAGAATAAGATGGTGCGCTTTCACCTAAAAAAATGTAATTTTTCATTTTTTTTAAGGGTAAAATGTATCAAGTGATTGGGTTTTAATTAGGAGTGAAAATAGGTTAGATTAATTTAAGCTTTGACTAAATATGTCTGAGCCTATGTGGTAAATCAGAAACTTAAACCTGACCTGAAGCCTGAACCTACTTAAAGCCTAACTTAATCTAAAAATTATTTAAAAGCATGCTTAAAAAGTAAACCTTTTAAATAAGCTCATATTTTAATTTTAAACATCTCAAATATACTTTAAAACTATTATAATATACAATATATAACTAGATTTATCAATTAAAATATATATCGATTGAAAGGACCGACTAACTATAATAAAATATAACAATAAAGTAATAACATAAAGATTAATATATAAGTATAATATAATTGAAAATATAATTAGAAATATAAAAAAATATATTGATTAAAAATTAAATGGTAAAACTAATATATTTGTGATATATTACATAATATATATATATATATATTAGCCGGCCTACTAGGTTCGGAGGCTAGATCTTGAAAAAATAAACCTAGCATGTTTGACTAAATAAGTTTAATTAAAAGCTTGAGCTTATTTTGTAAATAAGCTAGGTTAGGCCTAAAATAAGCTAGACTATAGGCTCCTGTTAAAGATCTAGTCTATTTTCACCCCTAGTTTCAATCAATTTGGTTGAGATCAAAAAAGTCATTAAGGCTTACATTAAACTTTTAATTAATGTTGTTTTAGATTTTAAAGCTCAAGCAATTAACATAAAAAATAACATCCATGTTAAATTAAAAGTTTTAAAATTCATTATTATTTTAAAAGATTAAAATTGCTATAAGTTCCATAAAAAAAAAACTAAAAGTTGACTACAAGAAAATAATCTTCTACATAATTTTGATCACTTTTCTAAAACATGGTAATAACTAAATTCAATAAAATTTCTAGTAATTTTACCTTTTTCAAAACAATTATAATTTTTAATATGTGCAAATATAATTAATTTTTATATGAAATCTTTAGGTACAGATATAATTATCAAATTAAGCTGATGAAGCTTGAGGTAAGATTCCATTTTCTGACCCAAAAAAAAAAAAAAGGATTCCATTTACTATTGTCTATCACATTAATTATCTTATCCAAAGTATCCCTATTTAATGCACCATATTTTTCAAAATTAAATGATTAAAAGTCAATAGTCCAATAAATCGGAGGGATATTTCAAAAAGTCACAAATTGTTGACACTGTCATTGAAAAAAAAAAGGGCTTATTTTCAATTTTCTTATGCTATTTTGTTAATAGCCCAATTGAGGTTTGGGCACCCCGTTGGAATGTTAAAAGCCGTCGACAATAAAATGAATATATTTGGTATAAAAACATTTTCAAAATTACTTCAAGATGAAAAAAAGTTGGATTAAGTTTGAAGCCAAAAAATATTGCTTCTCACATTGGGGTAGTGTTTTGAAACTCGAACCAGACCGATCTATCAACTACTCAACAAAACAAATTGGTTCAGCCATTTGGATCATTTAGGCATTTGATCGGGTTGACCCAAGTTAACCTAGGCGGGTTTAAGAGAATTGGATTTAGCTTGGAAATCAAAGCAATCAATTTAGTCCAAAGCCTTAAAGGGAAAAAAAAAACAAGAAGGAAAGTTAGCCTCAGTTACTCAAATTCTTGAGTTCTCTTCTGTCTTCTTTTCTCTAATCTCTAATTTCTTATCCATGATGCAATCTCAATCTATGATCTTTCCTCCAACTTTTGCCCCTAACTCTAGCAATCTAGTCTTTAACATCGAAATCAGAAGCTCGTGAGTTGTAACATGATGGCATGCCTCCAACTCTAGCATTTTGCTTTGAGATTGCAAGCTCATGCTAACATGTCTCTATCTCTTGCTCCAGGCATCTAGCCTTTGGCATTGAAATCGTAAGCACCATCGACAAATTAATATTTTATTTATACATTTGTGTGTTGAAATATTATCTTTTATTTTATTTTTATGTCACTGATTTAACCACCGAACTAACCGATTGAACCATAAGAACCGTGACTCATTACTCTTTCTGGTTTGACATTCGATGCAAGTTTCAAAACATTGCATTGGGGTTGGTAAAGTTGGGTGATATTAAATGAGTTTTAAATTTTCGTTCATCTCTACCTCATGTCTTCTTATGCAGCTAGCCTCTTCTCTTTTAGTCAAGGTATTGAAAATCAAACTAATCATTAATTTGGCTAAGATATTGCTTCAACAGTTAACGTTCAAAATTATAATTGAATCATCATTGAACCATTAGAAAGAAATTTATCAATTTATTAAAATAATTTAGCTTTTAAAAATTTAACATTTTACAACTTATTGAGTTATTTTAGCTTCTCAGAATTTAATATTTTATAATTTATTAATTTATTTAATATTTTTATAATTTGCAAATAATACTTAGTTATATATAGACTCTTTCTTTAAATTGTAATTTAAAGTTTAATATTTTTTTCTCAAAAAGATCAAATTAAAAACAAAAAATATTTATCATAAAATTCATGTTATTTTTAACCATATACATCTAAACTTGATTTTGAATTTTATCAAACAAGCTTCTGTTTGTCAAACTAATTTTTTTATTTTTTAAAAAATAAAATACCCAAACATCAATTCAAAATAAAAGGAAGCACTAAGTAAGAATCTAATTAAACAAAAACTAAAGTCTTAATAAGTCCACGGAGAACCCTCCAATCCCTACACTATAAAAAAAAAATAACTTTTTGGTAGAGATTAAAAAAGTTACCACTAAAAATAAATTTTTAATAACAATAAATTGTCATCACCAAAAGCCAATGTCGCCACTAAAAGTATGATTTTGGTAGTGACTTTTGATATTTGATGGTGACAAAAGTATTTTTATAAAAAATAATTTAAAAATTATCTATATAATTACTTTTGGTGATAATATTTGTCTCTAGTAAAGGTATTTTTTTAAAAAATTATATATAATTTTAAATTATATAAAATAATTTATGAAATTATCATTTGAATTATTAAAAGATATTTCGTATGAGTTATTTTAAAAATTTAAAATTAAATAAAATCATTCAAAAAATATTTATGAAATTAAATTTCTTATTCTATATAAATAATTAAAAAATAATTGTGAAGATGTGCCAAGTTTAATTATTAAATTATTTTTATTTTTATATTATCCATAATCTTTTTTTAGACATATATAGCCCATATATTTTTAAGAATTATATTATTAAATTATTATTTTAATATGATAAATTAAAATCTTGATGTGTTGTTACTTTCAATTATAATTGGATTAAGTTATATATAAATTATTACTTGCATGCAAATACAAAAATAATATTGGAATATTAAAGTTGTACAAATATCATGATACGTAAATGATATTGTAGACTATTTAGCATATTGTGCATTTGATGTTTGGTTTGGTATACATATAGTGTTTACTTCTTTTGTTGAACTCTAATGACTTTTGGACAAGGATTTCATGTAATTCTGCCTAATGTATTTAGGCTTTCATTGTTATAAAAAAAAAGTTGTCAATGCCATGAAAACTTGTAACTTGTCAGTTAGTGTGTTGCACACTTAACCTACAGATTGCGGTTTGAATTGGCAGACCCAAAAAAAAAAAGAAGTTACTAATAACATTTTTATAATTAATTATTACTGATAATAATATGAATAATTATTTAAATTCACCTTGCTATGAGATGGAGGATGATTAGATGTTAGCTAAATTGATCACATATGATATTCTTGTAATTATCTTATATTGTAAAAGTTATTAGTATTCTTTAAAAGTTTAAAATTATTTAAAATGAATATTAACAAAATTTATGTGGTTGAAATTAATTTATTATTAAAATACTCTTTTAAGATATTTAAAAATTATGGATAAAATATATTTTTAATAAAAGGGAAACATTTAGCTATTTTGAGAGAAGATAAAAATTTATCATGTAGTTTATCAATTTTTGAGAAAAACATGGAGAAGAAAAAAAGTAAAAGATATTTAATATAAACCAATATAATACATATTTATAAATAAATTATAAACTCAATAATTTTCATTAAAAAATTAAAATCAAAATTACAAATTGGTTACAATGTTTATAAGAATATTATTT